TTCTGAGAGGGAGCGGCTGGACTAGGTGGCGCACCTTCTTGCATCTACCCGGCTTTGCTTGTACTGTTCCTCCACGGCATCCCTGGCAAGCCACTGAGAGTTCACAGGAAGTTGCACGGGACTTGAGCGCTTTGCAAGTCTACATACCTTCCATAACATGGCAAAGCCTCTTGAATCTGAATATTCCTTCCACGTGCAAAGCCATCTAGCACAAACCGAAGACAACACAGCCTCGGCTTCTTGTTCTTCATGTAGACCAGTGTTCGATCACGATACCGCAGGTTGGCGGCGTGCGTGCAGTCCTAGAGGGAAAGTGAAACTTGGACCGCGATGTCTGGAGAGCGTCGGCATGACTTTCTTGTATGCAGCACTTGTCAGATCGGAGAATTTTAGTCTTACGTTGAAAGCCAGGCGAGTCACAAGTACACTTAGCAAATACCAATTTGAGTTTCAGTCCAACTGCCTGCAGGTGAAGCTAATGATCTGTTGCAGGTATGCAGTGGCATGGTCTCCTTGATTTTGTACATGGGGTACTCCACTGGATCCTTGCGGTTCCAGCACTGATAAGACGCCATGCATGAGATCAAATCAGCCTTGTTGTAGTAGAGGTGGTTTGGCCCTGCAAAGAGCTTCAGCCGCTCCTATCAGCAGCTATCACTTTGAAAGGCCAAGTCGTGAAGCGACCAATTCCCACAAGCAAGACGGATTTTCGCAAGGCCTTGAAGATCCGTCTGTTTGCCTGCGTCTTCTTCATCATGCCCCATACCGCCTTGATAGAAGGCATGATCAGCCGTGCGACTTGACATGACGTCTGCTGCACGCATGACTGTCTGCGGTCACAGACTGGGTCAACACCGAAGTTCGTGGCAGGAAAAATAGCTGGAGCACATGTTCGTAAAACGGTCTCGAGGTCAGCGCTCTCATGATGATGCGCTCAGGGAATCGCTTCAAAAGATCTTTGAAGCGTTCTACCTACCATGCATCGCGAATGCCAGAAGACAATGCTCGACTGAAAATGCCTTCATGTTGCCGGGCCGGTTGCCGATGTTCCTGGAGCAAAGTGGGATTCTTGCAAGGCTGCTGCTATTGCGACTTTACTTCCACTTCTATGTCTCCCACCACCAACACCACCACGACTACTAGTACTACTACGAGTACGAGTACTAGTACTACTACTACGACGACGACCAGAGTAGGTCACGGCGCTTTATTGTGCCTGAGGGGTGCACCCCGCTTGTCAAAAACAGTACTGTCGAATCCCGATTAGTGCGGGTGTCTCCAACAGAGTAAAGTTTTTCGAAAATTATTCTGGACCCCCCACTCGATTTGGGGGGTCCCCAAAAAGTATTTTTTTCGGCCGGAAAAAATTCAGGTAAAGGCAAAGGTTTGATCAAATTCCTTTCTAATTGGTTTTGGAATGATTGTTTATGATGTCAATTAGATTGCAAATATTTTTGCTAGGTTTGCAAGACCAGGCCGTTCAACGCAAAGGCTGAAGACCCTGCCTTTCCTTTCTCTTGAAAGCTAGACGGAGCAAGTCCTTATGGATTCAAGAGGAGCCGAAGGATCCCTCTTCCTTTATGGATTTCAATAGGAGCCATAGGATCTCCCAGACCCCCAATTCGTTTTGAGGCCTTTTTATTATAGGGGCTCCCCTTTTGGTTTGGGGTTGGCCCCCACACTAATCAGAATCCAACATTAGCAGGCATGGCCCTCGAACTTCGGTGCCAAGGATCCCTTTCCAAAACTATGTTGTATGATGGTCTTCGGGCTCCCTTCAACATGCGTGCCAGCGCTTGAGCAAAAGTAGGAGACAAAACTTCTGGGCTTAGATTATGTCTCCAGATAACCGCATGAAATCTGTGGCCTAGGCTTGGATGCTGCGCAGTTCCTTGAGGAGTGTGCAGCTTCAACACGGCATGAGTGGACAGGCATTGCGATTGGACAGGTATTGCTCCCTTGCATGCTCTTGGGATGGACATTTGTTTAGTTTCGGCATGTGTGCTCGGGAAAACGGATGCTCTTGGAGTTGAACGTTGTAATCGTTTGGGCATGTGAACTCTGGGAAATGCATACTCTGGGGATGAACGTCATGGCTTGGGCATGTGTGCTCGGGAAATGCATGCTCCGGGAATGGAAGTTTTCATGGTTTGGGCATGTGTGCTCTGGATGATCTTGGGGATGGATGTTATTATGGTTTCAGCATGCACGCTCTGGAAAACGGATGCTCTTGGGGATGAACGTTGTAATCGTTGGTGCTTGAACCGTTGGTGCTTGAATTGTAGTGCTTGAATCGTAGTGCCTGAATTGGGGTTGTGTCTGAATCGCGCTTTTATGGCACGGGTGTGGCTGTCTGGGATCCTGGTCCTGGGCGAAGTTGTAAAAATTTCCCAAAGCCGCATGATTTCACAACAAGCGCTGAGGTCATGTTGAGAAAAGCTACACGCGAACTGTGCTTTTTGAGGGAGGCGCTACAGGCCACGAAGATTTGGGGCCGGGGCCATGTCCTGGCATGTTTTGCATGTCTCATATCCCATGCTGCTTGCTGCTAGAATCGGAACGCCACCCAGGAGAAACCGCACTGAGCGAGTCGGAGGCGAGCTCCGTCTGCCTAATCAGTGCTGTCCTTTCACGATCATTGTTCATTTCTCCTTAAAGGACAGTGACGCCGACCAAGCCAACGACAAAAAGTGTTTTCCTAAGCTAAGAAATCTGTCAAACCAACACTCATTCTCCCCAAGCATTGCTAAACATTCAGGCGGCTAAGGGCATCGCCGAATACTATCGCCTGTGCCACCGCTACTGCGCCTGTGTCTAGGACTAAGATACTATTCAAACTACTGCTTTTGCTACTTCTGCTACAACGGTTATTCCTCCTCCTCCTGCTTCTGGCCCCGCTGCCGCTGCCGCTGAAACCGTCGCTGCCGCGGCTGCTTTTGCTTCTCCTCCGGTTCCAGCTCCTGTTGCTGCTGTTGCTCCTGGACCGCTGCTGGCGGTGCTGGTGCTGGTGGTGGTACTGGTGCTGCCACAGCTGCCTGCCCCAGCCCCTGCCCCCACCCCACCACTGCCGCTGCCGCTGCCACTGCTGCCACAGCTGCTGCTGCTGCTGCTGCTGCTGCTGCTGCTGCTGCTGCTGCTTGCTTGTCAAGGAATGTCAAGGAATCCTGCTTTGCACTTGTCTGCACAACACCAACAAGATCATGTCATCTGCTGTCAAGTTGCCGAAGGTACAGCTTGTAGTGGTACTTCTTGCCGGACACGCGAATCTGAAAGCGCAGCAACAACCCCTTCAAATTATGATACATGACGTGCAGCTGTAACAGCTGTGACAGGCACAAATCATTCTTTGAATAAGATTTTGCTGCATGAAAAATCTCATATTTGGTCGATTGTGAGACTCTGAGACTGCCCTCTTCAGCATGCCAGGTTGATTTCCCTGTGTTGCTGCCAGTCTCCGGGGCACTGTAACTTCCTCTTCCGTCTCAGTCTGGTGATGCTGCTTTCGCCGCTGAGTATGTTCACCTCTTTCGACCTGCCTGGATTCTCCCTGGCAGGAAGGCCGAACATAGACGCTGGGTTGGCAGACTTTGTAGGCGTCCTCGGGGGGAGCATTTCCAAGCGGAGCACAATCATCCTACCTTACAGCTGAGGCACCTGACGAACCAGCTTCCTCATTGTGTACTCTGCATCAGCGTCACCATGTCTCACCCAGCGTGTCCAGCAGCTGCAGACTGCGATGTGCCAAGTTGTCGTTCGCGAAGTTTTGTGCTGGCACACCGGCTGCTGTGGTAGTGGTAGTCGAAATTTGAATCAGCACATTAAACTGGAGCATCCCTGGATAAGATTTCCATCCCACAGCTGCATCACGTAGCCCTGCATGCATTGCATCTAAGCACCAAGTGCAAAAGATCGAAAGCCAGCAAGTTGCGTCTTCACGCGAGCCTGTAGCTGCGTCTGCCTCTGGAAGAAGCTGAAATGCCTGCATGTCGTTTGGCTAGTAGGAAGGCCTAAAGGTGCAAAATGCATCAACCTCCATGTTACCACGTTCAAGGAATGCGATGACTTTCAACGACAGTTTAGGCAAGAATTCGAACCATATCAGTGCCATTTGCCATCTAGAATCTAGAGGTAAACCTGTCTGCACTTGTGCAATTCCGTGGTGTCCTTCTGGCAAGCGACCGATTGCGGTAAGGGTGGAAACCTTTGTCGACTTTGCGGCGCAGGCGCATCAGCATCAACGGCAAAGCTACACCCTACTCTAATCTGAACGCAACCAACATGCTGTAACTAGTCTGGCCAGAGGCTGACTGGGAAATTGCCAAGCCAGATTGGAGGCGAGCAAGCCAGATGCTGCCAGACTCTGTAGAGCCAGAAATGATAGTTTGAGACTTCTGGCCTCAGAAGCCAGGTGATTGTAGCAAGGAGTATGGGCACCAAAAACCACAGCTGAACGTCTGAGCTTGGCACTCTCGATCCGTTCCAGGCAGTTTCTCACCCGAACTGCCTCGGCTGTTCACTAAACCATTTCTCACATGCGGCACAGAAGACGCGCGCTGACAACTGGTGGCCCAATTCGCGTTGTGACCAGGAACTCGGCGGTTGGAAGAAGGAACCTTTCGGAGGAAGCCTCAAGCGATGGCTCAGGTTCAAACTGCACAAGATTGCACAAGCACGCTCTGACTGTCGCCAAGCCTTCGAGGCCGAATCTGGCCAGGGCCCTGGAAAGCATACTGCAGCATGTCAGGCCAGAATAGGGTGCGGCCTCAAGCAACGCTTCAGTCCCAAACATGCTGATGGTCCGAGCTGCCGAGCCTTCGCAGTCTGTACCCCATCGCCTCAACACATCAGCCGCGAGGATCTAGGCCAACCCTGCAACTCCCAGTTCAGCTGAGGCTTGCGCGAGAACGGAACGCCCAGCTTTGCCAGGCAGGCTCCCAGCACAACCTGCATCAGCAGAAGCTGGCTTAGCTGCCAATCCCAACAAAACATGCGCGCAAGCTTCATATCAAGCGAGCGGCATCATCCCAGTGTCCAGGGGCTGTGATGCAGCGGCCAGTATTCCAGTCCCCGGGGGAAGAGCTGCGCATCAACTTGCCCGCAGAGATCTCTTTCGAAAGCAACTCCAAAGCTGCTCTCGACAGACAAACGCCTGTTCCACCATTCAGAAAGACACGACCGGGCTGCTGATGCTTATGGGCATAGTTTTCGAAGCCCATTGCCCATGATTCTGCAAACGAAAAGTTGCGGCAAGCAAGAATGCGACGCAGATTTGGGGGGAGGAACAGGGTGTCAGAGTCCAAGCGGCAGATCACGTCTGGCTTGCTGTTTTCTGGCACCTTTTTCATGGACAGCCCTGCAAAGTGGAGAGCCATGAAGGTCTTCTCAATTGTGTTGGGTTCCTTGGATGCCTCCTTTGGACGAGGATCCGAAGCAATGGCGAACCACTCGCGCAAGTTCACGACTTGGTAACCTCTGAAAGCCGCTGGGCCTTCCCCAGCAATGAAAAACTTCAAGGAGTCACAATACTTGGCGTATGTTTCAACGATCATGGCCATTCGCTCAATTTCCTGTGGATACATGGAGAGAACCAGACACTGGATTCGAGGCGTGAATGGCGCGACATGCCGGTTGTTCACCTCTTGAGGCTCCGGGGCTCTTGGCCGCCAGCATCGCAAGGGTCCAGAAGCCGGCAACCAAAGATCCGGGATAGGCCGATGTCTGTGCCATACATCTGTCAGGATCCGCTCGTAATTTTCTGCAACCTCTTGCACAGGAAATGCCCACTGAGCGCGACAGGGAGCATGGTGGACCACAAATGCCAGGTCCATGACACTCTCCAGACTAGTCAGGGCCACGTTTTCCTGAGGCTCTCCCATGAACTTGAAGAAGCACATGATGCCGTAAACAAAATGGCCTATCAAGCATCGAGTCCCGCGGTGCCGATGCTGAATTCCCTTGGGACACGGCACGCTCCACAGATTGGTGTGGGCAGCCACACTCCTGATTGGAAGACCGCCATGCAGGGCACGCCATATCTGGTGGCCATACGCTCGTTCGTTCGGCCACGGCTCGAGCTCGCAACCCCAACAGACTTGATCAGCAGCTTGTTCCAGCGCCTCCCACCAGTGTCCGCGCTCGCGCAGTCCTGCATTGATACGACAGACAGTCCCACAAGTATCGTCCGCTGTCATTTGCGCCCACTGCCAGATAGAGGGATCTGTGATGGCTTCGTCATCCACCATTTCCATAAATGGCTTGGAAGAATTGCTTGACAGAACCTCCATCTTGCAAGCTCACAGGAAGAGCTGTAGCAAGGACGCTTGAGCAAACAAATGCTGACGCGGTGGTCACTGTGCTGAAACTTGCAGACCTGCTTCAAATGATCCAAGCGCCGCACACGTTCGCAGTTGGTGACAATTGCATACGCTCCAACGTCCTGAACGAGAATCAGAGGTCTGCTTGAAATCATGGCGCAAGGCACATGTGTTGCTTCGCAGAAAGCAGCCCGGTCCCGGATAGGATCATACAGCGGGCTGTCTGTGCCCTCTAGCACCTTCGCCACAGCCTCCCGTAGTTCAGGATACTTTTACGAGAGATTACAGCTTTCGAGCTCTCCCGCCTTTGCCAAGTGACCTAGAGTCTTGCCCTCGGCGTCGAAATGATACCACTGGCGATACTTATCGTCCTGGCGTGCATCAAGCTTGCCAAACACCTCGTGCCTGCTTGCCTGGCGCCAACGAGCTCACAAAATTACTTACAAACATGCAGCTCTTCAGGCTGCATGTGATTGACGAAACCACGCAAACAACGGGCTGGGACCTTTTCTCGCTATATAAGACTCATGAATTCTCGGTGGAAGCCTGTTAAGTCTACCAGGAAGGGCGCAGGCACCTCTGGATGGACACTGTGTGGGGCCGGTTAAGCTCACAAGCTGCCCTGAGCTACGGCGGCGCCTGCAGCTCCTTGCACGGATGGTAAGTCTTCTCCCCTCTCCACTGAGGAAAAGGATTCCACTCCTCAAGCGCGAATCGCTCCAAGTCCATCTCAAGCATTGCTAAGGTGCTGAATGTGCAGAGCTAAAAGTTGAGCACGGAGTCTTGCCGCTGGTCAGAGCCATAAGGCAACATGATCGCAGGCTCAGCAGGATCCTCAGGTGGTTTGTTCTACAGTTCACGAAGTTCACGATGACAAGTCGGTACGCACTTCCAATGTCAATGTCTGCCTAGGGGCATATTCCGGACTATCACGTCCATACCTATTTGGAGTGATCTGTGAGATACCACGGCGGCAAGTCAGACCTGAGACACTGGTCTGTTTGACTCAAGAGGAGTGAAGGCCGCGCGTCCGACCTCGTGGCAGCTTGTCGACAATGGCCGTGCTGCCTCGAAGTTGTGCGTCGTTTCGTCGTTTACACAAGGCCAAGGCCAAGGCGTTGTCATCCAGCAAGATGCAAGCTGCCTGCGGGACGATGAGGGCCCTGACTTTGAACAAAGCCGCGCTCCTGGATCTCAAAATCACAACGTGTCAGCAGGATGCAAACGTGAATTGCAAACAGAACTGCTTACGTTGAACAGTTCATTAACACTTCTCACTTGACCACAGCTGTGGACATTAAACCATTGAAGTTGAACAAATCCATCACCAAAGACATTGATGCAAGCAACCTTGCTCCAGGCGCAGTACGCAGCTACGATTCCAACCAGGACCAAAAGCGGCGCCTGCATGGAGGTTCATCATCGGGCGGAAAGATTTTAACATGCAAAGTTGGGCCTGTGCGCATGGTGAACGAAAATGATTCGAAAAAAGTGTCGCTATAAGCGCCATGCCGCTCATCCAGTAGCAGCAGCTTACTTTATTGGTTTTTTAAAAGGAATGAGCGAAATAAAGTGCCTCGATTACCATATGAATTCTGCACACTTGCTGTTCCCAGCTTGGCCTGGCGGAACATGCCCAGGATTGAGCGGCCTGGCCGGCCCATGCTCGCCTTCAGACTCAGATTTGGCACAAATTGGGAAAGAGTGCTTTTGGTGCAGCTGTGCCTTGGCACCTCCCATAGCCAAACTCCAAAGCAAGGCTTGGCTTGAGCCAGTTTCATTAGACACGCAATTCCAACTCTCTAGCAATGCAACAACCATGTATAGTGAAGGGATTAAGCTGATCTGCAGTGCAGTTCTGAATTGCTTCCTGATTGATCAACATGAACCAGCGTAGGGGCACAGGCCTTTTTGGGTACATAGGCCAGCAAGTGACTAACGAACGCCCGCAACATCCAGTTTTCGCGTGCAGGCGTTTCTGCGGTCACACGCTGCTCAACTTTGGTTTTTCCACTTTCTCCACAGCTCCGTTTCCACGTTCTCGAGAACGAACTCGTGCAAGATCATCTCTAGATTGTCCTGGTACATGGCTCGGTTATGTTAGACTCAGCTTTTGAGCTTGCAGTTTGCTCTGCAGTCGTTCTGCCCCAGGAAGGAGTGGTTTACGCAGCGCTATACAAGATCCACTCGCGTGGACAGGCCCGAACAGGCTGGGGTCCCGGGATTTCAGCACTTGGAGAAGTTGGGAAGTTTCGGGGCATGGCTGAATTGGCTAGAGTCTATAGGACATGGGGAGCCCTGCAGGTACAAGAATCCACAATCATCTTGAACCGGAGCTGCAGTTTTGGGCTAAGCCTAAGGGTGTGTGTTCCCTTTGTGTTGTTTTTGCTTCGTAGCTTTTAAGGGTTTGAGAGTTGTAGCTCTGCTTTGTAAGGCTTAGGAAGGTTTCTAGGGGTTTGGGGTTTGCAGAGCATACATAGGTCCTTTTGGGTTGAGGCTTTCGGGCACATAGGACTTAAGCTTGAAAACTTCAAGGTTGAGAGTCTACGGTGGCAGGATTGAGGGTTTGAAGACATGAATTTGGGGCTCTGGCATGTTTTGGCAAAGGTTTCATTGTATTTTAGTGGTTCCACGCCAGACCAGCCCCAATTCGGGCAAACTTTGGGCGAGCAATTCAAATAGCAAACATGGCTTGGACACGTGAAGATTGAATCAACAGTTGACATTGGAATAATGGATTGAACTGCAGTGAAAATTTGGAAACATGTTTACTTGCCTCAAGGCATGCCGAAGTGTAGTGCGGCGCACTGCTTGGCAAATGTCTGCCTCGCCATGGCGAGCTGGCGAAACTCAGTCCCATGCGTCATGGCCGCTGAGAATTTCCGACGCCCTGCTCAGCATCACTCAAATCACGCGCTGATTTTGACGAGGTCGTGTAAGAGTCTGGGTCATTCCATGCACCTCCATCCCCGGGTAGGTCATGGAAAAATAATTAGCAAACTGGGGAACACACCAGACGAAGCAACTAGAACATCCTCCAGACTTCTGACAGAAACAGCGCCAAAAAAAAGCCTAGACCTTGCACGTGCAATCATCACATCATCGCGGGCTGTGTCGGTAATAGCAAGACCCTGAATCAGGCGCTCCTGCTCTGTTTTGTAGACTTTGGCAGGGTCTGGTCCACCACCTGGCATCATTGGAGCACCGCCCATTGTTCCCATCCTTGGAGCAGGAGGTTCTCAAAATAAATTTGCAGCTGCTGCCTCTGCTTGCTGCCAAGTTTCATCGCCATCATTGGGTCGTCGGCTTCAACATCTGATTTTGTGAAGAAGGACTGGACAAGCCCTATGAGGCTGTGACTACTCATCATGACAAACCTTGGTTATTGGAGCTATTGATCATTGTAGCTATGGAGGTTGCGAAGCAAATTGTATTCACCGTGCCACGGAGCATGTACCAACAAAGCGAGGAGACGTAGCCCGGCTCTAGGGCAGTGACCTCAACGCCTCTCTGCAGCATTCCCTGTCAATGCACAGGTGAGAATGACAATCCAACCGAACTTGGAACTTGCCCCAACCTTGAACTGAAAGGTCAGCGGGAAGGGCGTTTTCGCCACGAGGAAGCCCGAGAAGAGGTGAGAGACCCAATAAGCTAATAGTCCCTGAGACACCATGAAAACCATCTGGCCCTTCATCATTCCCATCATTGCCATGGGATCAGAGCCTCCTGACAAAGCCTCCATTGGGTCCTTCGCTTTGGGCACAGACTTCACCAAGACACCGACATCCTTTTTGACAAAATAAGCTTTGCGGGACTTGAAAGCCTTCTCAGTGAGAAAATGCGACGCTGCTCTCAATAATTTGCATCGTCCGAGCATGCTCTGGGTTTTGACTTCCTTCACATCTACCTTTGGCTCGGCCTTCAGTAAGATCATTAAGCTGGACCGAATCATAGAGGTCAGAACGACCACAATAAAGATCGGAAGCAGAACATTGTTTCGAATTTTCGGATCCAGGAATATCCCCATCCAGCTTGACGTGGAAGCTCCGAGTCGCCACTTGTCTATATGGTGGGCCTTTGGAGCTCAACGGCCGCGGTTGTCAAGAGGGACGTCACGCTGATATGCGGGTTTACCACTGAATGAGGCAGTATGCAGCAGGCGCTACGAAGGAAACTGAAGCAACCAGCCCTAGGAAAGGTATGGAAAACTATGCGTTTCGGAAGTTCATCTTGCAGCGCAACAGGCACGACGGCCCACGCAAGCACCAAAAGCACATGCAACACCAACACGACCAGCCCAAAAGTCCAATTTTGAAAGATGGATGCATGAGCGGATACAGCACTTGGCCGTGGCAAGCTCCCGCAAAGGGGGGCTGCAACGGAACGCATGAAGTTCGTGAAGACATCAAGCATGGATGACAAGATGGCGTCTTTTGACAGCTCGCATCTAGAAAACAATCGCATATGGCCTTGCAGGCAGCCAAGCCGAAACTTGGTGAATTGTTCTGAATTTCGCTCCGCAAACTATCTCACATCAGGCAAGTTGGCTCACCACAGACGACCTGAATGAAGAAAGAAAGGTGCCACTGGCGTGAAAGCTTCAATCTACCTGCCGTCGAAGCCACTGCCCTGGTTCGTAGCATGTCCAGCCCTGCGCATAGGCAGGAATGCCTGATTGTCCTCCACAGGCAGTGTGGACATTCACTTCGCATTCACCTGATCGCCTTTTGCCTGGCCATTTTCTTTGAAAGTCGCGCCACTTGCCAAGTTGTCCCTTGGCAGGTTACGCTGCTAAATCTTTATGAAAAGGCACCGCAAGGCCAATGGCGGCCTGATTTCAATGAATCGGCGTCCTCCCTGAGGAGCCTTGCAGAGCAATTGACATGACAGCAGCTCACGCCTCTTACATATCTCACGCTAGGTAAACCAGGTTTCACCCTGAGGCTATCACCTCGACTTGCGCCTGGCCCAAACCATTAAAGTTGTCCTGGGGTTGTTGCAAGTATCGGAATCAGCAGGAAATGGACTCATCACAAAGCCGTCCTTCCCAGAAGCTATATATCTCTTGCGAACATCCTGCACATGTTGCAATCTTTTTGAATCATAGGCTTCGGTTCAACTGTTGTCAGAATCGCCTCTGGGCTCCGAGTACGTCGCACTCCTGCAAAAAAAGGGTATACCGGGATACCAGAAGAACTGTCAATTGAGCAGACCAGAGACCCGGCCTGCAGCAGACCCTCTTGATCCGGCTGCTTCAGTGATCGCAGTAAAGGCCACATCCTGTCACGTCCAGTGTCAGGCGCCATAGAATAAGACCAACCGCCACACTTTCACTCGCAAGTTCAGACGGGCTTGCCCTGGATCCAAGGCTCTCATGAACACCTGAAACAACATCCAAGCGTGCCGCCAACAGCAGCTCATATGAATTGTGACATCTTAGTTTGGCTCAATTCGTTAGGATTCCGCGTTCATATCTTTGCGGTGCCTTTGCTACGAACGTTTTCTTCCCCGTGCTGCTTTCATCTTAGAGCCACACCTGCAGACTGCAGAGATGGATTGGAAGTCGCAATCCCCTGGCGCTCAGCAGTTGCTGTGCGAGCTATATGAGCTATGTAGAAAACTACATGGCCTCTCCACAAAATTGTGCATGGCGATACATGCTAAAGCTAGGACATGAAAGAGTACGGGCCATTGTGAGAATGAATGCAAGCACTCTTTGCCCGATGAGCCTATCTTCACGTGAGCAACAGCCAAGGCTTCGCATCTAGCGAAGTGACAGGATATTCATCAAGAAATGTTCGAGAATTTATCTGAACCAGTCTACCACAATGAATCCTGTGTCCCCTCTCAGCCTTCCTTTGGCAAGTCTAGCACTGGCAGTGGCATGTATTGGCTCACCTAGATGCTGCTTGCGCAGACATCTCCTGCTGTGAATGGTTGCTTGCTTGGTCCATCTGGGTGGAAAATTTAAGCATGTTGGAAACAACTGAGCCGTCTTAGGAATGACTTCCATCTATTTTCTGCAAGGCTGCCCTCGAACATGACAGCTGACAACCATCATAACGTCACAGAAAGGAAGTGCACACTTCTTTCGTTAACTACCACCTCTGGCGACTATGGTGCTTCGTTGAAAGTTGCCTGACCAGGCTGGGGGAGTGGCTTGCGCTTGGGACTCCATGCTTGCCACTACTTCTTCCTGGAATCGCTAAAATCGTGTACCATGCGCGCTATCTCCGACAGGATTCCTGCCACGACGCCTCGAGCTGTCACGTTCTCTCTGCATGATGTTCTTACACACAGGGTTTATCATAGCCGGGCGGGGAATAGAAAGAACCTTGAGCAGCCTCGCAAATCAGCAATGTTTCGACAAGCTTCAGGCGGCATTCTTGCGACACTGGGCAGAAAAGCATGCTGGCTTTACCTCACTTTGGGGTGCTTCAAAGCGGAGCCCAAAATGACGCAGCTCAGTCATCCTTCAGTGCACGCCAGCATAGACTGCAGAGTTGCCCAGCAGCAGTACTCGAGCTCAAAAACATGCCGCACACATCTTCGTTCATAGACCACGGGTAAGCACGGAACGGCAGCGTTGCCAGCTTTTGTGCAAGACCTGCTTGGGTGAGGGTTTACAGTTGTGGACGCAAAATGCATGTTTTGCTTTGACCTGGTGAGCAGAAAGCCAGCCTCTTGCTGTAGAGGCCTCCCGCGACAATGATATACCCTGAGCCACAAGCGATCGAGCACCGGTGCAGAATGCCAGCCACTGCTCATAAGAGTGCTACAGGCCTTCGTGTTGAGAGCAAAGACAATCCAGCAAATACCGTTTTTCTCCACAACCACCTGCTGTTGCGAATGCAGGGCTCTGAAGCTCAGATTTAAGACATTCCAAAACTGTAGGTTGGAGGGTTCTTACTTTCATGTCGGACTCCAAAATGCAAATCTCATTGAAACGTGAACAATCGTGAACGCAATCGTGGCCGGAGTCTGCAAAGTTCTCAGAGGGCCTGGGCAAGCCCCTCCCCAACAATCATATTTGAGTTAAGCTTGAACTGAATCGTAATTGATTTGAAACTGGACAGAAAATCGAAGCAAAAGTTGAGTTTTGGCTGAAGCTCTTCTCACTTCTTACAGAATTCGAGCCACCGTCAACAAACGCGGCACCAACATGAGCACCTGATTCCACTTGTCAATATCGCAAATCTCAAGATTGTGGTTTTCGCGGAGCCACTCCTGATTGCAAGATCTGGGTGCCAAGAATTCTGGGAGCGAAGAAAAGGCAGAGGCGCCTTCAAGGAGTCCTTCATCTCGCAAGGTGCAGGTATTCTCACCTGCTCTTGCACGTACAAGCACTACGAGCTTACCATAGGACCCTGTAAGCTGCCTCCGGGGATTCTAGCGATGCGTAGCCCTCCCACGATGAAGGAGATGGCTGTCTACCAGGAAGTTTGGTGGCACAATGATGGCACAGTGGAACCGCAGTACCTTTGGCGCCTCGGGGGAGACTGGCGAGGCAGCAGTCGGCTGCCATTCCTGCAGGTCTTATCTACGTGTGAAGAGCTCGAGATCCGTTACTCAGCCAATTAGCTTGTTTGGAGCCTTGTATCACCGCCCTGCTCCTTGAAGAGGTTTAAGCTCCCCTGGCATTTGACGGAAGGGCGATCACCAAAATAGACATGCTCTGGCCTTGCGACGACATCTACATGTCTACACTCCAGTACTTCATTTGCATGGTGAAGGTGACGTGGTAGCGCCTCCTGGTTCGCAGGGAGGTGTCGCTTTCCAGAGCCATGTCTTCCGGCAAACGGAACCGAGGTGCCTGGATCCACAGGAGCCATGAGTGAGCCATCACAGAGAGTCTTCCAGTTAGCAGCTCGCTGGCCTGCATCCTGCATGTGCTCCTGGCTGGGAATCAGACTCCACAGCAGATTTCATCATAAAACGTCCATGTTTTCGGTCCCTCGCCTCGCATCCGATATACCGCCGCCCTGCAGAGGGTGCCTGCGCTCCGCCATGGGCTGCCTTCACTGATTCACGGAAAAATAGACTTCGTAAATCACACAGCAAGCAGAACGTGCCTCCAAGGGTATCATGTGCCCTAAGACTGCCCTAAGGGAGGTTTGAGTCCAGGAGATCTGGGTAAGGTTCGAATCTGGAGTCTCTTCGGAGTTGCCTATACCTACTGCTGGGACGGAAGGAACTGGGCACTTGAGACAACTGCATGCAACATTGGGCTTGAGCCAGCCCAGCGGAACAACTTCAAGCGTAATGCCCAAACCACGCGCAGACCTCTGCAGTCAGTGCCACTCACAAGTCTTAAGTTCCCCATTTCCGCAGGCGGACTCTCAGGAAGTTAGGCCGCGCTTTGGCCTCTTGCAGACTGAACGTGTCTCAAGTCTTGCATGCAATAATTCATGGGACATAATGGGTTCTTTGAAGTTCGGCTTTCCCCTGCCTTGTGCAAGTGCCGCGGCACCGTCTGCAGTGTTTTCCGAAGGGCCTTGTGCACAGCCTTCTGCAGCCGGCAAAGCACCTTGTGCAGCGCCCTCTGCGTTGCTTTGCGCAGTGCCTTCTGCAACACCTTGTGCAACCTCCAAAACAGCTTGAGCACCGCCCTGTGTTGCACCAGCAAGGTCTGCTGCTGCGTTTTGCGCAGCGCTGTGTGGGGCGTCTTGCACAACGCCAGCACCTTCTGCTTCAAGCTTCAAACTTGGCGCGGGATCCGCTTGCATCTCAACATCCGCTGGCAATGGCGCTCCTGCTTCTGACACGTCACGCAAAATTACAAGAGGACTTCAACAAAAAGCGTGCCAGCTGACAAGAACGAAGAATGCTGCCTCTCCACATCTAGTAACATTGGGATGACAGCAGGTACGCAACAACATCTCCATTCGGGCCAAAATATAGGCTCAACTGTGGACATGTTTATCAAAAACTTGCGTAGACTGGGATTCAGGTTGTCTCTGGTGGTTGGTTATCCACTCCTGATTATTTTAATCGCACACACAGCCGTGTGCATCTCCCACTTTTTTTCTTCAATTAGCTGGTGGCGATCCAGGCCTGTTAGGTTGGGTTCGTGGCCTGTGAAGGACACGGTGTCCTTTGGCCTCAACGGCCAAGAATCAACAAACATCCGTCCATGCAAGGAGTTGGCGAAAGCCAAGCGAATCACCCTCCTCTTCCGGATACTTATAGGGTGGAAGGGCAGGAAAAAAGTGGAGCATAGCTGAGCCAGCATGTGCTGTGCACAACACATGGCTCCATCGTCGTTGCACAAAAATATTGATCGCACACGCCGCAGTGTGCATCTCTCACTTGCTTTCCTGAATTTGCTGGTGTCGATCCAAGCCTGTTACGTCGCATTCGTGGTCTGAACAGGACACGGTGTTCTTTGGCGTCTCTGTTGCAAAGGCCGACTTATGGAGAATAACGAAGCACTGCAAGATTGCGGTTTCAAGAGGCATGATCGGGATCTTGCTTCACTGAAGGAGGCGAGAACTTTTGCCTGGACTGACGATGCTCCACCTAGGTCTGCTGGAGATCTGGAAGACGCAGCCAGAACCTGGCGGTCCATATCCTGCGGTTCCCAGCTCAGCTCACGTCCGTGTATAGCAGCACGGGAGCTGGTTGCACACTGCCTAGCATAATTTCGCGAGGCTGGACTGTCTGTAGCTGGCAGCTGTAAAATCATAAAACCCTGACATGTTCTGTGCCCTGCTCAGCATCTTTGTCGTGGCACTGTCTC